TAGCGCTCTACCACTTGAGCCACAGTGCCACTTCTGGCTTTTTTCTTTTTGCTTATGTGGTGTTGAGGAATCGAACCCAGGACCTCAGGCATGCAAGCGCTCTACCACTGAGCCACCTTCTCAGCCCCAGAATTCCCATTTTTGAGACTCAGTATCGATTGCTTCCCTTTCCTGGAATATTCCTCCTCCTTTAGATAGTATATGGCTGACAGAATCCCTTCAATCTTTACACAAATGTCACTTCAGTAGGGCTTACTTTGGCCACACTATCAAAACTTCAAGCCATGGCTAGGAATGTGGTTTAGTGGTAGAGTGCTTGCCCAGCATTCATGAAGCCCTTGGTTCTAATCCTCAGTACCATATAAACAGAAAAGGCCAAAGTGGGCTATGGTTCAAATGGCAAAGTGCTGGCCTTGAGCAAAATAAGCTCAGGGACAGTGCCCAGGCCCTGAGTTCATGCCTCAAGACTGGCAAAAAAAAAAAAAAAAAACATTTAAATCCCCTAATACATAAAAAATCATGGGCTGGGATCTAGGTCAGTGGCAAAGCGCTTGCCTAACAAGCGCAATGTCCTGGGTTCGATCCCCAGTACCAAAAAAGAAAAAAGACAAAAAAAATACAGTTAAAAAAAAAATCTTGCATTACCCTATCTTTTTCTTTTTCCACAGTAACTGCTTCCTTCCAAAACTAGCACACAGTTTATCTATTTATTATCTGGTGGTCATAACTCTATATTCCTGCATAGACCATTTCACTTACTGAAGTATCCTATGAACACTAAGTGCTTGTTGAGTGAATACACCAATTTTCAGTTTTAGCTGCTTCCTGCAGTGAGAATAAGCTTTCTAACACCCCAGCACTACAAGAGAATAGCAAAGCTCCTGACTGAAATACCCCAGGCCTCTCAAGGCCTTGTTTATCAGTTCCCACACCACCTGTTTTACCTCTGCTTCAGGAATCGAGGGCACTTTTTTGATCCGCTGGTTGACCTCCTTTAGGAAGGCATCAATCCGGTCCTTCTTTTTCTCTGACAGCCTTACTTCTTTGAGTAGCTCCTCCACCTGTAAGAGGTCAAGGAAGAATCTATTAGCCTTACGGTCCCAAGCAAGCCCCTCTAACCTAAACTCTAGTAACCCAACAATACCTGTAAACGAAGCAAGCTGGAATGGAACAAGATTTCAGTCTCCCGAAGGCGATTCAGCTCTTCATTGGTAGGTTCCTTGTAGAGTTCTGCCCGGCTAAGTTTCGGTGGCTGCAGGAGGAGGCTCTCTGTTGGAGACCCAGCTCTTACACGCTTTCTAGAGGATGCCTTCTTCTTCTCTTTGCCTGTGCCTTCCAGGGCTGTTTCCATCACCTATCACCAGAGAAGGAGAAAGACAATGTGAGATCATAGGTACTTGGCATTTGATGCCTAAAGTGCCATTATGGCACAGGTTGCCGATAAAGGCTTCATGTGCTCCCATCCTTCCTTTGAGAACCATTCACTAGAGTAACCTGACAGCACAAGCAAGGAGCTCCATTTGGAGTTGGTACCCTTGGAAGTTTTCTGGACACTTCCCTAAGCAATGGACAAGCCCCCCAGGTACCACGAATCCAGAAGTTACCTCGTCTACTGACCCAGGCTTGGGATTTCTCACATGCTTTCTCCATTCGTGCTCGGCCCAAACCCCGGCAGTCCCAGATTCCCTACCAATATGTGACACCACTGCGCCCAGCCACAGGGCTTCTTCAACGTGCACCACCCTCCCATCCCTCACCGGCTGTCAGGATCCGCTATCTAGAGTCTGCGGCTGAGGGAGGACGCCCCGCCTCCAGTTCCTGCACCCACCTCTTGCTCCCCGGCCGCCCCGCGCGGCTGCTCTCCGGCTGGGGCCGGCCCCATCACGCGAGTCTAGGCAAGGGTCCCGCACTTCCAGATTCAAGCCGCGTCCGCTCAGCGTGTCTCCCCACGTGTGCGGAAACGCCGAACTCCAGCGCAGTGGAGCGGAGTTTCCAGAGCTCCACCCACTTTACTACTATTGGGTTCTTGCCCGATAGCTCTCTCTCCATTGGTCAGTTATTCTTCAAGACCGCCCATGAAGGCGGGACCAAACGGAGATTCTGCAACTTACGGCTTCTTTTGTCACTTTTTGCGACACTAGACCGGAAGCCTGTAAGTAGTTTAGCTGTCACTTCCTCTTCCTCAATTCTTTCACTTGGAGTCAAACGGGACGGGATGGGTGTTCTTTAGGTTTCTCCTTTGAAGCTGTTTGTTTGTTTTTTTGGTCCGGTCATGGGGCCTGAACTCTGGGCCTGGGCGCTGTCCCTCAGCTCTTCAGCTCAAGGCTAGCGCTCTACCACTTGAGCCACAGCGCCACTTCCG